CACGTCGTTCCAGGGGTGCGGCGTGGTTTTGCTACATTAGAAATCTGTTACATTCCAGGGGTGTAACGCTGTTCGTGACGTGTTTTGCTACATTAGAAGTGTGTTCTGTTCCAGGGGTGTGACGTGTTTTGCTACATTAGAAGTGTGTTCTGTTCCAGGGTTGTGACGTGTTTTGCTACATTAGAAGTGTGTTCTGTTCCAGCGTTGTGACGTGTTTTGCTACATTAGAAGTGTGTTCTGTTCCAGGGTTGTGACGTGTTTTGCTACATTAGAAGTGTGTTCTGTTCCAGGGTTGTGACGTGTTTTGCTACATTAGAAGTGTGTTCTGTTCCAGGGGTGTGACGTGGTTGATGACGTGGTCTCCTCGGTAGAAGCCCCTGCCGGCTGGGCGAGACGCGCAGGCGCCAACCTGGCGGTGCGGACCGAGACGGGGGCCGTTATACACGCCCGGCGGGTGCTGCTGGCCACGGGAGCCTTCACCACGTTCCGCCGCCTGCTGCCGCCGGGGCTCCGGCCGGACGTCAGGCTCACCGGACAGACAGTCGCACTGGTACGGCATTGGTATATCTAGTACCGTACTGCATACTGTACGTCTCTATCCTAACCCACCGGACAGACAGTCGCACTGGTACGTCCCTATCCTAACCCACCGGGCAGACAGTCGCACTGGTACGTCCCTATCCTAACCCTTCCACCGGACAGACAGTCGCACTGGTACGTCCCTATCCTAACCCACCGGACAGACAGTCGCACTGGTACGTCCCTATCCTAACCCTTCCACCGGACAGACAGTCGCACTAGGTACGTCCCTATCCTAACCCACCGGGCAGACAGTCGCACCGGTACGGCATTGGTATATCTAGTACCGTACTGCATACTGTACGTCCCTATCCTAACCCACCGGACAGACAGTTGCACTGGTACGGCAGCTGTCTTCGTCTTCCTTTATCGAAAAATAAATATCTTAGAGCGTAATACGCAGTATGAGTGGAGTGGAAATATTCCTCAGCTGAACGGCATCTCTTGCAGTCCTTCCATCTCTCTTTTAGGTGCAGTGACGAGTGAAGCTACCCCATACACCGGCCAGTCGGCTTTAATACGTCACCATCCAAATGACGAATGCAATTCTCTCACACCAGGTCCGAACTGCAAATTTGATCCAAATGACGAAATAGTAACATTTTCTAACTGCCTTGTTCTTGCGGACTTCTGTTTGCCTCGAATCTTATCTAGTTTCTTGTGTTTCAGGTGGAGATTAGCGAGAGTGACGCCGATCGCCTGCAGCGCATGCCCAGCATGGTCTACCGGCACCCGACGGACCCGGGGAAATGGTTCTACATCCTGCCGCCGATTCGCTACCCCGACGGTGAGACAGAAACTGGCACTTTATTCACGTCCGTACATACGCATACATACATCCTGCCGCCGATTCGCTACCCCGACGGTGAGACAGAAACTGGCACTTTATTCACGTCCGTACAGAAACTAGCACTTTATCCCCGTCCGTACATACGCATACACACATCCTACCGCCGATTCGCTACCCCGACGGTGAGACAGAAACTGGCACTTTATTCACGTCCGTACATACGCATTGTCAAATACAACGGACATAGAAAAATGAGCAGGAGGAAAAATAAAACATTGGATCTCAAGTCTTCTGCCTACATCTGCCCATCTGGCCTGGCTCTTTCATTGTCGTTTCTTTACAAATAACTTATGTGGTAAAAACTGGCCATATTTGCTAGAGAAAATATCAATGCTCTTTTAAACTTTTCCATCTGCACGGAACATGTAACTTCACATTCCCCCTCGCAGGCAAGTATTACCTGAAGATCGGGCACGGCGGCCGCTGGGAGGCGCTGTTGCACAGTGAGGAGCAGGTCCGGGACTGGTTCCTGTCCGGCGGGGATCCGGACGCCATCCGCGTCATGGCGGCCGCGCTCATGGAACTCGTCACCGGTACGTGTGCACACGTCACGGGTATGTGTGTACGTCACGGGTATGTGTGCTGGCGTCACTGGTACGTGTACTGACGTCATTTGTACGTGTGCTGACGCCACGGGTCCTTGTGGTGACGTCACGGGTCCTTGTGCTGACGTCACGGGTATGTGTGCCGACGTCACGGGTACGTGTGCTGGCGTCACGGGTGCGTGTGCTGAAAAATAATTTTTTTAAATTTGTATTTTCTATTGCAACAGAAATGAGGATCACGTGGTGAAAAATGAATCTACAAAGTTTTCATCACGAGATCTAAAGATGAATACAAAATTTACATAGACGATTTTGCTTTTGCTTACAATTTTTCCCAATAATAGTCATCACAAACTACAATCTACATGTTCATCTCATAGAAGCTGAAATAAAATTTTTCCAACTCATTTTCAGGAGTGAAGCCGCTCTCTGTCCACGGCGACGCATGCGTAACGGTCAAGACGCCGACAGAACAGCTGTACGTTGCCATGGTAACCCCGTCGCTGGGCGTGGCCCTGGGTGGCAACGGGTGGGCGGCGAAGTCATGTGACGAAATCGGACGAATGGCAGCGAAGATGATCCTGAAGGGCCAATGGGACCACGACCTCCCCGGGGATCGGTTCAGAGTCAGATGGGTTGAAAAAACGCAGGCGAAATCTAAACTGTAACCCGTTTGTACAACCTGCTACACGAGTAGGGAAACGCTGAACTGTCTACGTGGTAAATACGATTGTTTATCCGTGTTGATTGACTTCACTTTAAAGTAAACAAGCAAGTGTCAAGCAGTGTCTAATGACTGAGCGGGCTACCCAGGCTAAAGAAAATAAAAATAAAAGTGATGATAAATAAATATCAATTTCAGACAAATTTCTTCATTCGATTTGTTTTGTTTTGCCGCCCTGCAAGCGCTTTAGATGGTTTTAATTTTACCCGCGGGATGTTGCAGTTCGCGTGAGTGGGCGGGGCAACATCCGGGGCCTATCGCGGCTTCCTGGAAGCCACATGCTGGAAAATGTGTTGGTTTTGTGTTGAACTTGAACGTGCGGTCAAGGTCACCCCCCTCCCCCACCTGCGCTCGGAGGGGCGCCTGGGGTGATCACGTGATGTTTCTCAACATGGAAAGCGGAAGCTGATCCTTTATAAGCAAACCATCCTGTATGTATATGTACACAAAACTATCCTGTATGTACACAAAACCATCCTGTATGTACACAAAACCATCCTGTATTCATGGGAAATTCAAGCTCTACTACTGGATAATGATAGGTGGATGTCTTTGAAACTTTATTCACACACCTTCTTGCAGACAATAAGTCTGAATTGTCAGGCATTTACAATGAAATAGATTAAAAAAGCTAAGGAGTTAAAACAGACGATCAATCAAATTCGGTTTGTCAATCAAATGTCACTCGAGACGTCCGGATATTATCTCTGTAATTTATCCAGTAGTAGAGTTTGAATTTCCTATGAGTATTGTTTACCTTGATGTCTAACCTTCATCAACAAACTATCCTGTATGTACACAAAACTGCCTGTCAACTGCGACAGCGGTGAAGCTTGAAGGTCTCCCAAACATGAGCAAAATACAGTTGAAAAGGATGTAATCAATGAGCATGCGCTGTAACTAGTAATTCATGTTACTAGCTCCATGGGTCAAATTAATCTCCAAGCAGATTTCTTCGGGGCGGCAGAAGATGAC